AACACTCAGCTCAAGCTTCAATACGGGAAGAAAACATCTGGTTTCTTGATCTGGTCCAGGTGAGGTCATAGCTCACTGAAGGGCCAGGGAAGAACCCCCTTCAGTGATCCCCTGAGGACTGCATAGGATTAAGGTGGGGCTGTCTCCAAGGAAGCAGAGTGCTGTCACCAGAAGAAAGGGCTAGGGAAGCCGAGCCTACCCAAACTGAGCCCCCAAACACAACGCCTCTTACATAGTACCAAGATCTTTGCATGTACTTCGAAGGGGGTTGTACAAGCAAACCTGGTGTGGATCGTGGCAATTTTCCTCCACATAGTAAAGGTCATCACAAAAGGGGACTGCAGAAATTATTTAGTTGGCCCTAATATGTCCATTTCACACATTGAGAAATTGGGTGACTTGTTAAACTCTAGTTAAAGACAGAGGAGCCGCCATCTGACTGCAGTGTGATCCTCTGCCTCTCTTCCTGTGCCTCACCTGGCCACAGAGGCTTTTCGGTTGCACGTAGGCACCATTTATCGTCGCACACCATGGACCATTCGTCTTGCAATCTCACAGATGCAATGCAATCACTTCGACAGCTCTGTTACAGACTATATCCAGCCCTAGACTCTAGACAGCAAGTCATTCCATTTCACATTAAATTTTAGCCTTGCTCCGATTTCAGACAGCAACCTGAAAGTCCAGGCTCTGCTGGCGGTGATTGACAGGTGACCCCCTCATACTGCCCAATACTTGTCTTCTCTCGCAAATAATCTCTGGCCAAATTAAGATGACCTTGGGGGACAGCTTTCTTACAATAGTGTTTAGTTTTACTTACTTCTGGCCAAAGGAAATACAATAACATTTCTACTAAGGTCAAGTTTGGAGGAGGATAAGAGGAGGTTTATTCAATAGTTGCTTCATTGGTTGGCGCAAATAGTAACTCTCTCCGAAGCCTTGTATTGTTAGGCTGTCTTGCAGATAGAATTTTCATTGTGGGTATAACTGGTTCACTTGATAGGTATAGGGTTTTACTGCAGATCCAGTATATTTTATGGCAAAATTAGGCTCTTGCAACAAAGGGCGTGTTATTTTCATCGCTTAGAGCATACTGAGAACAAAAGACTCTGGTGAGGTGCTCTCCAGCCCCAGGGGTGCTGATCACCTGCTCAGTACTGGAAAGAAAAGGGCAAAGAAGGTCTGTCCAGTGGACAAGGAGGGAAGAAAGAGAGGATCTCTTTGTTAAAACAAAAAAAATCCTCACATTTTCCCAGTGCTCAAAGAATTTGAGAATTGGAATGGACCCCAGAGATAACATAGGTCCTCCTTTGTTTTAAAAAGAAATTGAAGCTCAGAGAAAGTGCGACACACCAAAGGTCACACTGCTGGTAGGGGAGCTGGCGGGTAAAGAGGACCAGGATGTTCATTCTAGATGGCTCATCCCAGCCACTGTGCCTCTGATGGCCAAGGTGCCAGCCTCTTGCCCCTTACTCCTGAGGTCCTGGCAGGGTGTGTTTAGTAGTGTCTCCCTCTTATTTTTTCTCCCACAGAAAAATCTTTTCCCATAAAGCTTTCAAATTATTATCAGTTTTGGTGTGAATGTGTGTCCCCGCAACCCAGAGAGCGCTCACATGTTGAAGCCCAAACACCCCATGGGGTGATACCAGAAGGTGGGGCCTCTGGAGGTGATTAGGTCACGAGGGTGGGGTATTCCCTTAAAGGGAGGTCCCAGAGGCACGCCTGGCCCCTTACGCCAGGTGAGGATGCCGTGAGGAGCCGGTGGTCTGCAGTGCAGACGGCAGGCCTCCCTAGACAGGGCCTCCTGGCAGGGAGCGTTAAACTACTGTTGAGAGCTCCC